ATATGGTGATTATTTTACTTTTTGAACTGTCAGGTTAATTTAAACTTTTTACATCTTAATTTAGATCGTATATTACTAATTTTATGCTTTATTGTAGTCCATGTATGCTGATATACTTATTCCATGATAATTCTATCTTTATCCTTTTGTGTGATGTAAATTAAATGTTGAATGGCGGTTCATGCAGGCGAAGAACATATCAATATTCGCATATTCATTCAAAAACATGAAAATGCTTAATGGAGTACCCTCATTTTTTATTGAATTCCTAAAAAACAATATTTATAATGAATTTTAATAAATTTTTCGGATTTTTTTGAAGCTTTATTCTGACCGATTCACCCGATTCCGATCCGGATCGCCGATTCGCCGATCCGGATCGGTTTTTGAAAAGCCCGATCCGGGTCACCGATCCGGTTTTTAAACCATTGGTTCAATTGGATAAACATGAAGGTTCAATTAGTGATTTGATAAACATTAAATAGTTCATGTTGATATTTTAAATGTGGCAAAAATAAGTCTATATCAGGAAGCAAAGGATATACTAAACATCATGATTCCTAAATCTGATGAAATTAAAGATTGTTAAAAAAAACTGAGACAATACGAACAAGGAGGTGGATGCATAGGCAAAATTTTATTTCGTGTCAATAGATTTTAAAATAGGAAAATGGTTTGATACTGCTGCAGCCCTATCACAATAAGTAAATCCTAACCTCATAACTCATTGGAAATTGTAACGCAAACATTGGAAAACCTTATACATCAAATGTCTTGACTTGAACATTATGATTGTAGATAAGAATTTAGGATTTCAAGCTCTAAAAGTAGCGTATACTGTAACAAACTATCCAGACCATCTATTTTACTTTAAAAATAAGTGTTCACAACTCCACAAAATCTGTACAAGTTTTAAAGATTCAAATTTTATTGTCGATGTTGGAAATTGATTTTAGATATTTATGTCGCATAAACTACTTTTAGACAAAGATTTATGGTGATTCTTTATTTTGTTTTTATAATGCCTATGCCTTATAAAAACCTCATCCTTTAAAATATGTACAGCTCTATTAACAATTTGTAAGCTTGTAAATTCAGAAAACATTAATAAAATTGAACCAAATTAATAGTAATAAGACGAAACGAAAAGAGTGGAGTGGAGTGCGACCTTTTTTCTTGAATTTCATATCGAGTAAAATTACGTTATGCCTTACGGCGTGAACCATTTCAACATCCTCACTTACACATAAGAAATTAAAAAATAAATGAAAGATAAAAAATAAAAAAACAACTCCTAAATCGATTGTTTATAGAATAGTTTACAAAAAAAATGGTCTGTATTATAACCATGATTGAAATATTTTGATTTTGTACACGTAATGAGCCAAAAGCATAAACAGTTAAAATGTTGGGGTGCTACAACATAATGTCTTTATCTCAAATCTCATCAAATTTCAATTAAATTTTAAAATAACAATAAACCTAAAGTCTAAAAAAAATTATGAGGAATTTGGATAATTTGTGAGATGCTTGTTTCGATTTTATACCAGTGTAGGTCATGTGCCATCATTTTCATGTGACCGATGATGGAAACTTGACACGTTATTGCTGACAAAGTGACTACGGCAAAGTTAGGAATGAGGTTAATGCAAGGCAGTTAGAGTAGCAGGACACCACTTGATGTCTCCAGTTTCGTTTTTATCAAAGACAAGTACCCCTTACTCGCTGAAATGATAAAAAAACACGTCTTCAAAGGGCTGCAGCTCTATTAAAACAAGTACGCATCGCCTCGAAACTCACCAAAAATTTGCAGTTCTAATGGTAGAAAACCTTTATATTAATCATATGGCCCTTTTATTATTATGGTTCGTGAAGAACAATTAAGATTTTTGTCTGGTCTTGATAGGGATACAACTCCATCGAAACAAGTTAAGCCTCGCCTCAAAACTAATAGAAAATTACAATTATAGCTTCCAAAAATCTTCATATCATTCATATGAGCCTTTGACCATTATGGTTGTGAAAAAAAAAATTAAAATTTCAAACCCTAAAATTAGTACATATTGTAACATGGGAAGGGACCTTGGAAAGAATTTGCCTCAAGCTTTTGATAAGGATTGATCGATGGGAGACGAAGGGTCCTATACAACAACTTAAATCGCACAAGCTTGGCCTGCCCTGCCCTGGCCTACCTCCATCTTAGGAGGAGCCATATGAGGCGGAAGCACCACGTACGGTTTTGAAGCTGAGTATTTCGGTTAATGGACCCAAGGAAAAGTATGATGATTGTAGATAAAGGGCGGCCAGGCTACTATAAGATACCTGTAGGGATTGGTGCCCCATGGGGCAATCTACAAATTGACGCATGGGACTCACCTGGGGAACCTAGCATGTCACATGTGCTCTTTTTTTCATTTTCCTATTTGAAAGGAAAGAAAAAGATTTGATTCAAAGTCAAGATCCCGTATCTGAGCAAAGCAGCTTGAACTATCGATTCTTCATCATTCATTTCTGCCATAAAAAGAAGTGTTCACGAATTCGTAAGATTTGTACCATTGTTTGAGCTTCAAATTTCAATCGGTGTTTGAAGTTGATTTTAGAGCCATATTTAATGACGATGATACGTATCAAATTTTATATTTAATACTTTGTAGAAAAATTACAATTTGTGAAAAAAAAATGTATATTGTGTATCGGGTTAATGTAAAAAGAATACATCGCAATAAGTATTTATGGAAAAGGTTGGTAGAGTGTATGTACTTTATTATAAAAAAAACATTAGATAAGGTTTAGGTAAGTGTGATTTAATTTCTATTATTATCATTTATAATTTTTTTATAAAAAACCTTGATATGAATAACGGATACAAGGAGGGGTGGACTCTTCACACGATTAAAATACTCGAAGACGTGAGATGATGATGGGGTTGGTGGCTGAGTCATGACATTTTGAGACAAGTAACCTCGGGTAGATAAAAGGGCAGTATACACGGTGTGTGTAGGACGGGGGAGGAATATGAAGTTTGGGCGGGCCGGGCCGGGCGGGGGCGGTTTGAACATCAAAAAAGAAAAATGCCTTGCCCTTGGTTTAGAGGGAGAAGGGAAACTGGAAGGGCACGTAGACGTAGAGAGAGAGAGAGAGAGATTGAATTAATGGAAGGGGGTGGGGCCACACAAATATACGTGTAGATCAACAAAGGAAGTGGGACCACACAAAGATATGTATGAAAGAGACAAATATGACTACTCCCAACCCACATGCACATGCACATGCACATGGTCATGGTCATGGTCATGAGCATCATCCACCCTTCCCCTCATTTGGGATGGAAGGAAGGCATTTTAAATAGTCCCACATGGCCCATCATCAATCCACCTGCATTAACTAAGAATCCACATGAAATGGACTTGCATCTCAATTGGAGGAGAGAAGGATGGAGTTTGGACGGACCCTTTTCATTTCTTGGGTTTTGTCACTTCTCTCTCTCTCTCTCTCTTCTCCCCGCCTTAAACAAATACCCACACCACGTGCTTCTGCACACGTCCCACCCTCTCCTGACCCACTCATTTAATCCCTCCCTCTTTCTCTCTCTACATTTTGATGGTCGATCTCAACACCAACAACCCATGGATGGCGTTCCAGATCTAGAGAGAGAAACAGCCTTTCCCTGATCTGCAGGAGATAGAGAGATAGAGAGAGAGAAAGCTTTTACTCTTCTGCAAGAGAGATAGAGAGAGAGAAAGCTTTTACTCTTCTGCAAGACGGCATGGGAGGAGACGATATGCAGGAAGGGATGCAGTGTAGCAGCCACCCTTTGCGGAACAATGGAGGGATCTGTGCCTTTTGCCTCCAAGAGAAGCTCGGGAAGCTCATCTCCTCCTCCTCAAATCACAACACCCGCCTCTTCCCCTCCTCCTCCTCCTCCTCCATCGACCCATCCCCTCTCTATCCTCCTCTACCTATCTCTTCCTCCTCTTCCTCCTCCCCCAACACCAAACCCGCCGCTTTGGAAACACACCTTCCACCATTGAAGCTCCACTTTCCCCTCATCCAAGCAACAAAAACTCCAAATAACAACTCATTCCTCACCACCACCACTACCGCCTCTGCCTCCGACAAGAAAACGATAACCACCACTGCTACTGCTACTGCTTCTGCTGCCGCCGCTGCCACCGCCTCCTGTTCATCAGCCGTCTCAGAAGCAACGCTCCCACCGCAGCTCATCATGAAGCGGAGCAAATCGGTGGCGGCACGGCGCGTCTTTGATGGGGATGACCCCCCGAGGCCTTACATAGCGGAGAACAGCCCCCGTCGGAAGAGCTTCTGGTCCTTCCTCCACTTCGCCCGCAAGCGAAGGTCATCAGATCCATACTATGCCAACAAGAAGCAATGGGCACCTGAGGGGAGGCTGGCAATGCAAGGCGGGTGTGCCACCGTCCCCGAGGCACCCACAGCAGGGTGGGTTATGGTCTCGGGCAAGGAGAACGAGAGCCCCAATGGGGGCCAGCCACCAGCCGACAACCTCGACCGGAAGGTGGCGAGATCAAGATCGGTGGGGTGCGGCAGCCGGAGCTTCTCCGGGGAATTCCTCGAGAAGTTATCCACAGGCTTCGTGGATTGCACACTGAGGAGGGTGGAGTCGCAGAGAGAGGCCAAGCAACCACACAATTACTGCAACAACAACAACAACAAGATCGTGTTGCACGGCAGCCGCGAGCATTCAGAGGAGATCAAGGACAGAGTCAGGTGTGGGGGTTTATTCGGAGGATTCGGAGGCTCTTCTTCCTCATCATCATCTTACTGGATCTCTGATGAGCATCTTAACAATGGAAGCAGCAACAGGATCTCAGGGCCTCCTCACAGCAGGAGTAAGAGCTGGGGGTGGGCTTTTGCGAGCCCCATCCGAGCTTTCCGACCATCTTCATCTTCGGCCACCAAGCTTCCGAATCGCAGAGATGAAGGAAATGTCGCCCATGTTGCTGCCACGCCTCGCCCCATGGTTGTTCTCAGAGGCTAGAAACGGTTTTTTTTTTTTTTTTTTTTTTCAAATTTTCCTATCTTTCTATTTTTTTTTGAGGGGTTTCTTGAGTTTGATTGCCATATTATTGTTTTTTTCGTTTTTGTTGATTTCTCTACACATGTATTCTACTGTATTTATCTAAATCTACTCGTGAACATATGAGGAGAAGAAGATATCTTTGGTGGGGTGCTACCCATTCTTTCTGAACCAACCCATCTCTCTTCTCCTTTTGTCTTTGATTCTCAACTTTACAATGCTTTTCCTTTTTCCTTTTTCCTTTTCTTTGAGTACAGTAAAAAAATTTCAATTATGTACCTTCTTTGATTCTCTCCATTCTTGTTTGTTATGTCTGATTTTATTTGTGCCTGGGGATGCCATTATCATGGACGCAATCTAATCGATATAATTTTGAGTATTGAATTTACATTTCTCCACTATTGTTTAGAGCATTGGCTTTCGCACCTTTTTCAAATAGTAATTAAAAAAATAAAATATCATTGATGTTGTTGTCTTACTGTAAACTTTTTCATCTGAAAATGTGGGCATTTGCATCGTCTCCTTGAATGCAAATTTTTTAACAAGCAGTAATTATTGAAAAAAAATGTATAATTAGGCCATTTATATTTGGTACAAAGTGGTCACAACTAATTTTGACCATTAGACGACTACATTTTTTTTATCGATTAAGCTCAAAGTTAAAAAGAAATTTTTTCAAATTTTATGACACACCTAAGCTATCAAATATTATATTGGATGGTTGTAAATAATTGTGACTTTCTTGTACAAAAAAAAAATAAATGTTTTCATTGCATACAAATCCCATGACTCAAATTTCCATCCAATAATATGATAATAATAACAATTTATATTAGGGAAAAATTTATATAGAGCTGAGGCTCTAAACAATCAAATTTGGGCCTACCTCAAAAAGTTCGCTAAAAGAGGTTGTTTTGTTGCCCAAATATCTTCAAATTAATCATCTCTACATCAAGATGCATGGACATGAGAAAAAAATGGATTTCAAGTTTGGGAAATAGTGCCTTTTGTAACATATTTTTAGACCGTTTCAATTTTCAAGATTTTCATAAATCTATTGATCTATACTGGTTTTTGAAGCTTTGAACTTTATAAATAAATGGATAATAGGTGCTGTTTGTATAAAGCCTTAGCTCTAAACAATCAAATAAGAGCCTACCTTCAAATAGTGTTGATAAATATGCGTTCAACACTAAAAAAGTTTGTGGTAGTTTTAAAATATGTTTTCATCTTTATTTATGAAGTTTAAAGCTTCGAAAGTAGTGTAGATCGATAGATTTATAAAAACTTGAACATCTTGAAAATTAACGGTCCAAAATGCATTATAAAATACACTATTTCTTAAACTCGAAATCCATTTTTTTCTTATGTCAATGCATCTTGATGATCAAATTGAGGATATTTGAGCACCAAAACAATCTCTTCTAGTGAAATTTTTGATGGAGGTTTTAATTCGATTGTTTGGAGTCTCCGTTCTAAATAAACTTTTCTCTAAATAAATATATAAAAGTATATTTTAAAGCTATCTCAAAGGATTCTCTCGATGAGGTAAAACCAGATTTTTAGGCACAGTAGGCTGTAATTTGATTGGTGAGAGCGTAGGGTCTCTCTGTACAAAGGGCGCCCGTAGTATTATATTTGGCTGTTGCGAAAGAGTACTCTGCTTTGTCCCAAGCGTGGCTAACATATCGTTTTGCACTTTCGCATGTCTTGTCTTTTGCTTCATGGATGCAGACACATTTAATCATTCCCCAAAAACCCCCATCATCTTCTCTCTCTGCTCATGCCAAAAGGGCGAAGGTCCTCCTGTCTTACAACACCACCCCATTTCCCTATACTCGTCTCTCTCTCTCTGTAGTCCTTCGCTCTCTCTCTCTTAGACAACAGTCACTGTTTTTTAACCTGACCTTCCCTACACTCTCATCTCCATCCTCACCTCTCTTCTCTCTTTCTCTTACTCCCATTATTGTGCATAACATCGATCCCGGTCGGCGTTAAAAAAATCCATCCAGCCTTAGTTACGACTAAATCGGTCGATTCAATTTTACGCGATTCTATCAAAAAAATATATATTAAAAATAATTTTTTTTTAAATTTATAAAAATTATATTTCAAGCATACTTCAATAAAGTATATCCAAATGAAAATTAGTGAAAAAATGAACTTTAAATGATCAATTTCTGTGGAGAGATTTTGTTTAAAAATTTTTTTTTTTTTAAATATATACTTTCCAATCTTTATTCAAAAAAACGAATTACAAACAAATCTTTTATTTTTAAAAATTTTATACACTTTTTTTTAAAATATGGGGCCAAATCACCAAAACAAGCCAAAATGAAACCCGATCGTATATGAACCGCCCGATTTGATTTTGCAAACGCATCCCCGGAACTCGTTTCCTTTTGAGGGTGACGTGCTTTTTATTTGTTCCATTTATTTTCATTCAATTTGTTTGCCGGCGACTTGCACGTGCAGAGTCTTTAAGAATCTCACATTTTCCATCATATAATTTTGAGTATTTGAAGAGGAGTCAAATCTATGAATGACAATACCACACGGAGGATGGAATCATTCATTAAAGCCGACATTGACAATACCTTCTCCCCCGATTTTTATCGCCTTCTGAATTACCCTTTTTTCCATTCAATGTATTATCCCAAATTCGCTTGGTGGGGAGTCCATTCCGGCTTAAAGAATTAATTTTGACGAGAAAAAAAAGCCTTTTTTTTTTTTAATTCTTCATTGTATTTCGCTAATTCAAGTAAATACCATTTTCCGTCCACGTATGCATCATCAACAAATTCACTTGAAGTCGAGGCTTTTGAATATTAGGCTTGGACCAAATCCAAGTGAAGCCTATTGATGTTCTTTCAGTTAGATTCGAGTCCAGTCTGCTTCAAGCTAATTCGGCTTCGACAAAAAAATATCTATGTAAATTTATTTTTTGACTTTTTAAATTTCTATTATTATTTTTATATATAAATATCTAATTTTGTTTTTTTTTTTTTTTTAAAAAAGTCCCAAGTCTTCATCTGAATCGGCCGAATGACCGAATTACTTCATTTTTCTCGCCAAAATTGAAAAAGACTTCGAAACGAATCTGGCAACATCGGTATCAACGACTTAATCTTACCATTAAACCTTTGGCACCAAATTTTTAAGAATGAACCAAGTTACACACTGCCGACCAATATTTAAGCCGCATTGCTCTGTTTTACATGAACCATTGGGGTCCAAAAAGTCGGACTTGGGCTAGGGCTCACTAAGGAAACACCGCTTACCTTCACTGGGAGTAGAAACTCACATTCACATATATGACTATAGGAAGCGTTTCGATGCATCAGCCCATATGCTGCCGCGTCAAATGGGTTAGTATGAATAGGTTTAGGATTCACGAAAAGATGTAGCGGTGTTTTACACTGTATAACTAACTCAACCTTCATCCTTTATCTAAGCTTGAGACAGATATGACCGGCTTCTGACTAACCTTGGCTTTGTTTGAACCTTAAAATTGGTCTATCTTAAGCATTTCTTTTGTACCATTTTATTTCAATGCTTTACATTTTTTTTGTTTAACGTGCTTTCCATATTATTGGGGTTTGTTTTGTGACCTAAATCCGAAGATCGAGGGGATTAGATTCATGTGTCCATTAGGACACAGTAAACATTTCCTGCAGCTATTTAGATTTGGAAAAAGTTTATAGAAGGTAACACCTAAGCGAACCTCAAAATCAACCGGAAAAGGTTATTCCTACGCTAAAAAAGCTCTCCAATTAATCATCTTGACCTCTAGATGTCTGAATATGAAAAAAGAAAAAGAAAAAAAGGTTTCAAGTGCTAAAAATAGTGCATTTTGAAACACATTATCTTGGACCGTCCATTTTCGAAATTTTCAAGTGTTTACGAATCTGCATTATCTACACCATTTTTTGAACTTTAACTTTTATAATTAGGATAAAAATAGATTTTCAGGTTATTGTAAGTTTTCTAACTTGCAACTTCCTAAGGAATTTAAAGGTGCGACTCATTTTGGTTGTTTATTTTGGACACCTTGTATGAACCTCACCATTGATATTTTGATAAGATGTTTATTATTTTGATTTGCGAAATTTATGTATGGATTAGAGTTTTTTACCATTATAACGGAATGACCCAAAAATGACCCATTATTAATTGGAAGCATGGGTCTCCGAATTTTTTTAATTTTTGCCAAGTTTGCATTCGATTTGATTTTTCGGACCGCTTGGTTACCCCGAAACTTATCGTTTTTTACCAAGTTTGTCCCTAGTCCTCGAACTGCAATCTATTACAACTTTCTTTGGAAAAACAGTCCGATGGTTCAAACATCATACCACATTATATTGAAAAATTTTATTGAACAAAGTGGTCTGATGTTAGAGCCATTAGACCGCTTTTTATTGCAATTTTTAGTGAAAATCAAGCGATTCGATTTTTCTAACATCGGACTACATTCTGTTGAATTTCTATTAGTGAATGATGCGGTCTGATGCTTAAACCATCGGATATCATCCGGTTACCATTTTTTTGTAGAATTCAAGCTGTCAGACGTTCTAACATCGAACTGCATTCTGTTGAATTTTGGAGTGAACTGTGCGGTCTCATGTCAAAAACATCGGATCACCTTTTGTTGTATTTTTTTAATTGAACTAAGGGGTATGATGTTTGAACCATCGGACTACTTTGTGTTGAAAAAACAAATTTAAAATCAAGTGGTTTAATAGAACATATGCATGCACTTTGAATACAATAAGAAAATTATCCTCTTCTTTGAACAACTTACAAGTTTTCCCCAAAAAAACCCCAAATCTTTTTCTCAAAAAAATCCCTAATCTATAACAAAGAGAGTGAGATTTACATGTAGTGGAAGTAGGGCTATGAGAGAGAGCGAGGCGGGAGATAAGAGAGAGAGTGAGATTGAACCAGGGAGAGAGAAAGAGGACCGAGTGCAGATGAGATAGAAGAGGGAAGAGAGAGAAAGATAATAGCAAGTGTTCGAGAGGGTAAAAAAAGTGGTTTGATGTTTTAAACATCTAACCAAAGGCAAATTTAGTATATATATATATATATATATATTGGATCCTTCTTTCTAATAATATCGGGCTATTTTTGGGTCATACTGCTATAACATTAAAAAAAAACCCGATCCGTATGTAA